GTACCTGGCACATTCCTGCAACCTGCCTCTTCCAAGGCTCCTCTGGGGAAGTTACCCTGGCATGTTGCAAAGCGGTATTAGTGGCAGAAAATCTGCCTTCAGTGTCGGAAGTCTTTAGCCTCTTTAGCTTCATTAAGCCATCCTACTTACCCTCACCCTGCCTTTTGTTGGCTCCACTCCCCCCCATTCCCCACCCCATTTTCCAGCTACCCACACCTTCCCAACTTTCCATCCAAGGCCTGAAATCAATTATCAGGTTCCAGACTGGCTGGATAAAGGGATTATTATTCTCTAATGTGGAAGAATGTGTCTGTTTGTAGTGTGGGCTCAGACCAGGATGGGAAAGTTGGCTTTGTTGTTTTCTTTTCCCTCCCCCATCTGGAAAGACCCCTCCCTTCTTTGCCACCCCAACCCCCAAGTCTTTTCTGCTCCTCATAAAACACGTGTCCTGAAAGGGAATAGGATGCAGGCCCGGGAAGGGGTTGCATCGTTGCTTAGATCCAGTGTGCCAAGTTGCTGCCAATGTTTTTCCCTCTATCTGAGTAGCTTCTGGGGGAGGGAGGTGCCCTTTCCTTGGCCTGAAACCCAGAGCACACCTGTATGGCCGTGCCTGCCATGAGCAGTGTGCCAAGCAAGCTTGCCAAGAAACCAAGACTCTCAGATACCCCAAAGCCAAGGAAAGGTAGTTCAGTTCGGGAAAAGCCCTTCTTTCCCTTCCTGCCTTTCTTACCTGTTTCTGTAGCTGCTCCTGAACACCCATTCCAGAGACATTTAAAAATGGGATACTTATAAAATACACAGCCTTGTTACCCAGTGAGCTGTAGTAGACCCTGGATGTGCATGTGCGTACACGCACATTCATGACTCTGAGAATCCCAGTGGACATTGGTTCATGGGCATCCTCTGGGGCCAGTTTGTTCGCATAGTCTCTGGTCATAAATACCACAGTCATTCTCTGGTCTTGATCATAGTCACAGGTTTAGTAGAAGGGAATCATATATGAAGGGCCACTTGAATTCTAGGGTAGAATTATGTCACATTTGGGGTTAAATTTCCATACTGGTTTCTCTATATACAGCTCAGGATTTGTAGTTTTCGACAGAGGTGTGAGAGAGGCATTGGGTCTGGCTTTCCCTTGGTCATTCCTTTTAAATGGGGAGAATTATTGAAAGATTTCCTTTTTAGGAGTGGCAAAAGGAATCGTATCTTATTCTTCACACCCAGTTACACCATGCAGTGGGAAGACCAGAATTAAAAATAAAATCCATGCACATGCTACCCAATTTGCTTTTCTTGGACTGGAGAAAGATTAAGATACCAACCATGTAGCAGCCTCTCCCAGGTCTCACAACTCTTCCTTTACCTGTGATCTTAAGAAACTTGCTGTGTGACCTTAGGCGAATCACATGACCTCTTTGTGTCTCCTATAAAACAGAAACAGTGATACTTAAGAATATTAGGTTGGCGTTGTTGTGTAGACTAATACAAATGATTGGGGAGCATGTGGCATTTAAATGTGTGATGTAAGCCCCAAATAATAACAACAGAGTTGGTATGTGACCTACTGTTGAGTCATGCTGCACAGTAGACTTCATGCAGATGACATTCTTTGCTGTCATTAAAACACAGAACTGAAGTTGCAAAGTCACTGGGTTGAGGATAAGAGATTTTGGAGCAGGTGTCAAATTTGACCAGTGAGGAGAGATTGATTACTTCAGGAATGCCCTTTGCCTTCCAGAAAGCTCGTTTACATAGTTTGATGATCCCAACCTAACTGGCTTGCTGACTCATAAAAAGCTTTTGGTTTGAATTCTTTTCCTTTCATGAGGAAACTCATCATTTTACTTGTTTCAGACTTTTTTCCCCACAAAATGTTGCCATGGCATGTTAGGCCATGTTAAACTAATGACATGATCACCTAGAGCAGTTTTAAAATAGCGGTGAAAGCAGCCATCTGCATTTCTACATGACAGAGTGGGAAAGCCAGGCACTTAGTTTTCATTGAAGCTGAAAAATGTTGAGAACCAGTTTCTCTGGGAGACGACATGGCTTTGGCCCTTAGCATTGCTATGGCAGAGAGATGTTGGCAGGTGGCCCTGGCTCACATCATCTCCGAAGGGACCCAGAGTCAGAAATAATGTACACTGAGCTGAGAGGAGAGGACAAATAGGAAATGGTACGTATAGAGCATCATTTCTGTGTCAGGCTCTGTGTTATCTCATATAAAGCTCTCAGAACACCTGTACGCTAGGTGGCTATGTAACCATTTTATGAGAGAGAAACTGAAGCAGAGAGAGAGGTTAGATAACTTGCTCAGAGACA